TATACTGTACAGAGCACCAGAACCTACCCAACTGACAATAGCCCAAATTGGCAGCACCAAAACTATTATATACTGCCATTACTAAATAACCCAGCTGAAAATGGCCCAAAGCAACATGGAACAAACCTATGAGGGCAGAAATGGCAATAACCAAAAGAAACCTAGAACCAACATCAGAGAGTTCAAGTTAGTTGTAGATTCTGCAGTTGCAGTTATGCAACAGAATAACCAACCGAATTTACAGTACCTGAATTTACCCGAGGGTCACCAACACTAGTGGCCTCAACGAGGACATTAAGCTGGCAGCTCGTCGAAAAGGTACCCCCCCACCCTCGTCATTTGTCCTAATATTTTTCTTCAAGCTGGACCTGACAGTTCAGAGTTTTGACACTTCTGGCTTGGCAGACAGGCAAGGCCATGGGTTTATGACAGTTATAAAGGATCCTGTTTTCAGTCCTAAACTGTGGACTGTCGAGCTTTAAACCATTACTAGTGTTACATCAGACCTTTCGAAGAAGCCAGCCTGATCAACATCTTCCAAACTGTTCAGTATTTTTAAAGTTGATAGGATAAGCAGAAGAGTAAAATATTCTAGACACGTAACAGTAGAACAGGTCTCGTCATAGCAATAACCAGTTACTAGAGCGAGAAATCTCGCTCCTATGGGTGCTAACAAAACAGCCAGGTCTGATCAAGAGCATATATGATAATGTTATGTTGCAGCCTTTCTAATCCATTTGCAATTACCAGCAGATTAAAGATACTGCAGGACCTCAACACAGCCCATGACTTATAAAAGATGAAAGCATAGGCAGTGACAACAAGAGTAAGGTGTAAGTGTGGTTTGTGAGTAGTGCACAAGTCTGTAAGGGAGATCATCAAAACCTCAGGCAGTGTTCACAATGGTCTTAAGTACAGTACTGTTGTACTCTTGACCTTGTTACATACTGTACATCAATTCTGTGCCTCAAATAGAGGCCCAATTAGGATTCCCATTTAAGCTAACTTTTTAAATGACCCTTTTGTTAATAGTAAAGTGACATACTAGTGGGCTTGCCATCCTGTTACTTTTTTACATAGTTTAAAATGCCCTCCAAGATGGACCAGACTTTTGCACCAGGCTACAAGCCAGCACCACAATCTTGGGGCTATTCCTGTTGCAGAGATTAATCCTACTAAAATTAAGGAAATGCATTTCCCACACCATCTCAAAGTCGTCATCTCTACGACCCATAATGTATCCCTCAACAAAATTATATACTATACTGATGCTACCTATATCTCGACAATCCACACAAACTGCACCAACTCTACTCCTTCAATTAGAAAGTGACTGCCTCCATATTTTGAACCAAATTATTCACATTCAAATTATTCCTGGAATATTATTACAACCATCATAATTTTTAAATAGACTAACACCTATTAAACCCCTAAAGAATCCTAAATGAAGAAAAACTATCACCAGTTTGCTTCCTTCACAACCTTCAGCTACAATAGTTACTGTATAACTGGGTACCTAGTCACATTGGGATCTATGGAAATTAACAATTACAAGTGGGGTAAACCAACAAATTTCAATATGCCAGCAACAACTAGTTACCAAAAAATAAAACCTGGCCTAAATCTAGTCTTATAGCAATCACATTCCACCATCTTCTGTAGCCTAGTATAATTTTACCAGGTACAGAGTACCAGCCTTCAGTCTAGACCAGTGTCAATATCTGTCAGCATGCATGCAGCGAACAGTGGTCCGCGAGAATTTTGTGTATCTTGTGTAACTATTCTCTAACAGTTACATTTAATGGCATCATAGTTTGACTTTAATAACTATCATTTCTTGTTTGGTGAACTGCAGGATTCATATTAGTGGTCCATGGGATTTAAAATTATGAATTTGGTGATCTGCGAGCTCCGAAAGGTTGGCAACCGCGGGTCTAGACCATCAGTGCTGAATAAACGACAGACTGCAACTACAGTATGTTATAAATATGCATGAAAGACCAGCATTAAAATGACAACTGCAAATATTGTGGACAATTAAGTGGACATTCCCTCATTTATGCAACTAACAAGTTCCAGCACCTCTAAAACCATTTAAGAGATTCAGCCAAATTCCTGCTTCATAAGGATTGCCAATTCAAAACCATTAATTCCCATTAAATACATTAAAAACAAAAAATATTGTCCAGTAATTTGAAGTACAGGATTAAAGAACAAAAATTAGGTACACATTTAAATATTTGCAATTCAGTTTCAAGCCTAATTGGTTTTAAATAACTACAGGTAAATTTTCAAATCTGATCTGGGTCCATACACAGTACAGGTATATAAACCACAGATAGTACAGGTATATAAAATGGTAAATTATTCTTCGGCATTAGTGACTTACTCAAATTATAAATTATACTGTACAGCTTGGTTCTTCAATACAGAAAAATTACCGCCTTACACGTGTATGCTCCACGAGTACACATTCCTAAAAGTAAATCTTTAGCACTAGAAAGAGCTTATAGAAGAGGGGGGGGGGTTAATACTACTACTATACAAATATTTGAGAACATTTTGTTCTACCCAGATTTTGCTAGTGTATTTCTGCAAAAAAACTTACAAAACCGTTCTAATCTCCTTCATGGCAGTTACTATTTACGAATGCAAAACTTCAAGAACACTGCTCCAAGCTATGACACCCCTGGAGCACCTTTATGTAAACAATACCAAGTCACGGTCTACTACACAATCTGGAACTAAATACCTCCGTTGGCTGATTTTGTCATGTCATTTATATACCTTTTATTTAATATAAAAAGGTGTACATTGTAACTAGTTCATGTAATGACATTTCATAACTTACTAATATTAAACTACCAACACACTGAAACCCATTTGTAGATGTATACTGTATATACAGTAGTAAAATTTTGTTGGCATGTTCATGAATAAACGTATACAGTACGTGCTAGTTGGTCAGCGAGCAACTGTCACGGTCATGCAACCATCATGCAATTGATAGGCCTTAAGCTCAATCCTAAAATGGAGGGAAGAGGGAAGTTTAGGTGATTAACTGGTTATTTAGGTTTTAATTTGAGTGTACTGTATTCAGAGTTCCCGGTAAAACTTACTTTTATACGGTTTATGTAAAGGTACGGGTACTTGGGAGTCGGTGTGAAGGGTTGTTCTTATGATGATCTGAGTTTGTAAATACCTTACCGAATCTAGATGTTATTGCCGAGAAGCCGATATGAAAGTTACGAAAATTCTTTAACAACTGCTTTATGAAACCGACCCGAAAGATATGGAACGCAGAATTTGCATTGATTACGCTATAGAGCTAGTCAAACTAAGTGTGGTAGTTAACAAGCATGATTTGTGGATGTTATCACAATGTAAAGATTAGCTACATTAAACTAGCAACCCACAGTAATCTAGAGCAACTTTTTATACAGGAAAAAATGGCAAACTGCCTTCGAGTGATACGCCCTTGTTAATAGTCGCAACGTACAAGACTTCGCCAATTTTAAAATCCACTCAACTATAACTTACTTTTTACAATTAGAACCTATCAGTAAAATTAGCTCTCTGAAGACGAACTTTAGCTCATGCACTTTGGTACGATAGGGTTCCTATGCAAAAGTGAGGAATGTGTACGTAACGTACGGAGCTAAAAGTATAAACACTTTACTGCACTGTCTTGGGCCCCCCTTTAAGTTTCACCTTCCATTTACTAGAACACATTTGATACCACCAATCACGTCAGTACTTTGTCAGGTGATCAGAAATAGCTGTGGTAGGGAAGGAAGATTGGCCATCTCGAGCAGCTATCGTTGGAGGCCAAATATAATGTCTAGAATACAAGACATGCGTACGAAGCTTTACAAACCCAGCAAATACACAAGCGGGAACGCCGCAATTTTAGACCAATATCAAATTAGACGAACATTGCAGTTTAACCTGTCACTATTGGTCAAGGTTAATATTCATGGTGACAAGGTTTTCGGATGTAAGATTGTATTCATAAGACATTCCACTAGTTTAGTTGTAGCTTAAAATCGGATGCTTTGCACAAGCTACCTGTATATATAATGTAGACCGTTTTAGAGTACGGACCTTTCACACCCTCCCACAACAAATTAAGAAATCGGTCATAACAGCTAATGTGTTGTATAAATACGCTGGCTGCTTGTCCCATGTCTAGCTTATATCGAGCTCCCCCAGGATGCAACCCCACAGCAAGCAGACTTAATTCCTGGGTACCTACTTACTGATAGGTGAACAGAGCCATTAGGTGATAGGAAGTGCCTGTTACTATACAGTCTGATAACTACCACTTATGAGCTATTCATGCACGTGCCAATCTTCATTGATCCAAAAGGTTTAAAAAAAAAATTTCCCCTGCACTTATAAAACTATACCAGTACACTGATATTGCCTGTAAAAAAAAAAAATACCTCAAGATAATCTTCAATGTTTTACATTAAATTTAATGATTTTCCCATCAATAAAACTAATCCATGTGTAGACTACAGTGCGAGCACCAGTCGCTTCTTACCCATGCAAAGAAAGTTTTACAACCTAAACTTTCCCTCCCGAGGCAAGGTCAAACAGCCTTACCAGTCTTGTTCCCAAGATGATGATTGGGAGTTAGTACACCCAATATGCACACAAGTTTTACATCTATCTCATACTATGTAGGAACACTTCCTCTGGTGAACTATACGATGAACAATTACCAGCCACAGTTGCCTACCCTATAGTTAGCCCCAGAGGTAACCCGCCACCACCCATATTCACACCTTTATATTGGGCCTTAAATCATTGGGGTAATAAGGCGAATTAAGGTTAAGACAGCTCAACATTTTTTAAAATTTACTATTTACCTCCAAAGTTCATCCTTGGAGGCAGTAAAGCTCCGTGGAAGCTTTGCACCACACACAAGGAACCACACTCACCCAAGAACCATAAAATCAGGTAGGCCTAGGCCAAATGTAAGGTAGGCTCACCTGCTTAGCTGCTCTCGTCGGCTGTTTCCGTAGGTTAGGGTTGATAGCTCCCAGCACTGGTCTCCTCGTCCCTGGCACTATACTGCTAGTCCTTGCCTCTAACTCCTGTTTCCCTCTCCGTTGAGGCGGTACTATATTTTCCTGGTCCTCGTATATTTGCGTAGAAGACATATTGACACAATTTTAAAAAAATATTTATATCCACAGACCCAGGAGAGCCCCACACGCACACACACACGCGGCCTAAGCTTAGATCAGATTACGAGGTAAACCAAGGCCCGACGAAGCCTTGCTGCACTAGAGACGCCACATGAGTGTGTTTTAAGGCAGTAGGAGACAGTTAAACGGGAGAGTGAGTGTGGTGGGGGCGAGGACTCAGCTGACGGCCGGACACCGCCGACAGTTTGAAGCGACCAATCACAGCGCGCCGCCCTCCTCACCTCCCTGCGCACGCACGCCGCCTCCCGCCCTCCACTGCCAAACCACGATCTATCAATATTTAATTGTTACCTCTTTCTATCTCCTCCCTCGACTTTATTTCAAGTCAAATCGATAAAGAAACGTGGTAAATTCATATGTAAGGGGGTTCTGGCACGATAGATGGATATTTTGAAGGCAGTAAGGGCAAATTGGCGCTCAATACCCCGAGGGCGACTCAGTAATATCTGGACATTTAAACTGTGTACGGAAATATGAAAGGCCATGAAGGTTCGCTGACATGTGCTCCGAACCTATGTAATTTTTATCAACGAACAATACGATTTTCCGTTATTAAAGCGGGATATAAACGTTTATAAACTAACGTTACATAATAAGAAGTGGCGGAAACGGGGATCTAGCCCCCATAATGAACAGACTGCGCAAATAAGCACATCGCCAGCTGCGTACTGCAATACTTATCAATGAAGTCTCCACCGACATTATACTGTTTAAATTTAAAATGTTTGCGGCCTATTCATACACTTTATAATTCATTTGACTTGTCTTCAAATGTATAAATCGCGTCTGTAAATGTTTTGAATATAAGTTTTCATTCAGATAGAAAATCCACATACATTATATATATATATATATATATATATATATATATATATATATATATATATATATATATATATATATATATATATACATATATATATATATCACTTTTTAATTTAAATTTATTTATATATACAAGAGTTCTTTGTAATCTTGTAAATGTAAACTTGGACAATATAAGAGCTTCGAACCAATTCAATTTCAATTTCTTTCTTTATTATGCACCCCATACCCATCCCGTGAGCGGTGGTATAAAGAATTACAGAGGCACATAGCCTCGAACCGCAGACCACATCCAGCCACTAACCACTAAGCTACCGACCAATGGCTAGAATAGTTAGAGCTGCGGGTTGCTGTTTGTTTGTATGGTTTATGGCTCGGGGCTATTATTCACGAAGTGGTTGCTAGCAACATATAAAGGTACACAGCAGGCTGGTAGCATCCTAGTATTTACAAAACTCAAATTAGGTATCATGTAATTTGGTCTAAACTCATTAATAACAAGGTATTCGCTAGTAATATTATGCTAAGGAGGGTGTCATGACACTCTTGTTGACTGAATTTTCAGTTGGAGTGCTCATTCTTGGGAAGATGAGTATGTGCAATTATCCCTACTAATTAAAGTTAACGATATCCCAGCCTAATTCTGGCAATTACACCGTCACATTATCTGGTGGACACATTTTGCGTTTGTCAGTACAAATATAGTTCTTAGTTCTAGCCATTTTAACTAAATATATAGTGCATCCTGCTCTCTCTTGAGTGACTGCTGCTCTTCTTGCCCTATATTTCTATTTCCTGAAGTGGTCTGGTTTTCTGCTAGTGTCGTGAGGTTTGATTCCAGTAGTCTTTCCTCATACCTCATGCCTCTCAGCTCGGGGACTAGCCTGGTGGCATACCTCAAACATTTTTTTAACTTCGGGTTGTGTTTGACTAGATATATGGACCCGACGCCTGAGCCGCATATTTCAGGATTGGTGTGACATATGAAGTATACCATGTGGACAATCCTGTGTAGGACGGTATGTATCAATTCAAATTAAGTGATTGAAGGGGGTAACTTAAGCTTTTCAGTCACTAACTGTATTTATTATTTTATATAATAATAATGTTAATAACAAATATACACACACATATATATATATATATATATATATATATATATATATATATATATATATATATATATATGTGTATATATATATATATATATATATATATATATATATATATATATATATATATATGCTATTTATAATTTAGGAGATAGAACATAAATAAAACAACAAATTCCATAACTCCATATATTTAATAGCAAATATAACAAAAATAATAATTTACTTTTGTAAACAAATTCAAATTTGAAGTGTGAGAGAGCTGAGGCCTGACGAGTTACCAGTTGCTATATTAACAATGGCATTTAACTCATACAAGCTCCCCTTTTCTCAACGATAATACATACCTTAATGGCTCTGAATCGTCATTAAGCCATACACCCAACTATGAAAAATAATTGGAACTGCATGGGGCTTTGCTTGAAGTATAGTTGTATATGCTAGATAAGAGTGGGTATATAGATGGAAGGTGGGACCTATATACCTCCGGACGGAAAGGTCGGGGTAGACGCTCCCGCCGGGAACTTCCCTACGCTGAGCTGCTATATTTAACATTACTCACTCTTATGTATTCTATATACCGGCCACTGGCGTCTCTATGTGATGATATATATATATTGTAACCCATCCTCCTGTTTAGATAGTCCTTTGTGACTATGTGGACGATCGTACATATATTGACGTAGAATTTGATACTATTCACTTGAAATTCATCATGAAAATGCATAATCAACATTTTATCTGCAACATAATCATTATAATTCAATAGTGCCAAATTAATTTTACTTTTTAACCGTCCATTACGTCAATATAGGATTGTTCCTGGATGAGGGGGTTGGGGGGTCTCCGCGCCAGCCGGCGTAGGGGTCCTTCACTGGACCCCCTTCCCTTAATTCATCCGACACAACTTTATTTTAGGTTTTAACTCATATTATGCTTACCGCGCTTCGCTTAATCTGGATCATGTTAATTATTTAGGATTAACTGTGCATAGGGGATAGACATCCTTCGACATTTGTGTTAAGTGCACCATATATAATTCTGGGATGAATTCTCTTAGCCTTGTATACTTTAGTTACGTAATAATATGTTCGGGTGCATGTGCCCGTACTTACCTAAAATAGGTATACAAGTATAGTTATTAAGGCCGCTTAAATATTAACATGTATCCCTGCACATGCACACTAAAGGCTGCACCTCGCTTTTGAAATTTTCTAACAACTACAGTTGCAACTTTCTAGCCATACATGTATGTATGAGTATGTGTACATGTATATATAACATTAATAGTTTTGTAACTAGCGTCAAAAGATTGTTATTTGCTTAGCTAAACGAACTATAGAGGGTTCAGTTCCTGAGCCGATTATGTGCCTCTGTAATCCTTTACACCACCGCCCTCGGGATGGGTATGGGGTGCATAATAAAGAAAGAAATTGAATTGGGAAGCTGCAATAATTTCCAACAGCTCAAGTTGCAAATTACTAGCAACTGCATTTGCACAATATTCCTTGCAACTTGTAGTTGCAAATATTTTATTATTAATAATTTAAATTAATAAAATGGTATATCGTCTATGGTATTTGTTTTCACCCGACTCATAAAATGTACGTGGATGAGGTTTGGGGAGTTCTTCTACTCCTCAAGGCCCCTGACTTGTGAGAGTATGGTCTAACTGACTGTTACTATCAATTACTATCTAAACAGGATGATTGGTTGATGTGTATACAAAGGAGTACCATCAGAAGATGGCTGGAAGAAAGGGACCACTCTCCCACCCTTCTTTATATGTTTGATTTTGTTTTATCTAATATTTTATTGGTTACAAGTTATACACGTCGGTGAATACAATGAAAGGTTAAAGGTTGTGCATCTCTTGGAGCTCCTCACTTTCCGTACAGAAACCAAGGACACAGCAAACTTTATCTTCTGGATGGCCACACTGAGGCGCTGAAAGAGGATCAAGTTCAAATATGTTTATTGAGACAAGAAAGAAATACATCTCAAAGGGATAGAATAGCTTAGGCTATTTCTATCCCCCTTCTGCTGAAAGAGGAAACCAACAGCCCTTGGATCTCTGGTAGTGTCAATGAGCCTAGAACCCAGTTCTTTGAGGCTGCTCAAGATGCATAAGTACCATGTGCCTGTAATTTCTTTGCCAGTCTGTCATGTGGTACTTCAAAAGGTTTTAGCACAATCCATGAATACTGCCATCACCATCTTTTGTATTTACCATCATCGTTTGTATTTAACTTACTGCCTAGGCTGGAGGATGTGCTGGTGCTCAGGCCGGGATAAGCACCAGGCAGGTGATTATGGTGGTCGGGGTGATTAGCGGTAATGATTCTGCTATGGCGGTATGTCCACTCACAAGATGAGTGGCGCTGCCCAATAAACTCGCCCCTCGGGGCAAAATTTAAATTTATTCATGATGATCATAGCTGATGGTGATTAATGATGGTGATAATAGATGATGATGGTGATGGTAAATGATGATGATGGTGATAATAGATGATGATGGTGATGGTAAATGATGATGATGGTGATAATAGATGATGATGATGATGGGGATAATAGATGATGATGGTGATGGTAAATGATGATGATTGTGATAATTGTTAATGGTGATTGATGATGGTGATGATAGATGATGGTGATGATTGATGATGGTGATGGTAGATGTTAATAATTGATGATGGTGATGATGATTAATAATGATGGTGATTGTGATGATTGATATTGATGGTGAGTGATGATGATTGTGATAATGGTGAAGACTGAAGCTGGTGGTGATGATGATGACTGACGATAATGTTTAACGTACAATATAATGGTGATGACAATAGTTTATGAAGCTGGACGTGCCGGCTTTAAGCCAATTGGATCAATTCCTGTCAATTATAAAGTGGGCGGCGCTGGTCAGGCGCTCAAGGGGCCCAGAGGACGATAATCTACTTATCACCGCTAAGTAAAACTGCCTTCCAACTGAGCCAAACCTGTAGAGGCTTGTAGTAACCTCTCCAACTCCGCTCCTGTGCCAGGTAAGTCCACCTCGGGCTCACCATAGCCCGTGCTGCCTGCAATTTTTGGTTGCCATTAGCTGAATCTAGAACAACAACAGCAGTAGCAGCTTATGGTAAACTAACACACATTTGCAAGCTAAAGTTGAATGTCTGTTGAACTCTTTGTGACAGACAGATTGGAGTCAGTCATTAAGTATACAATAATTTTTTAATCAATTCGGTGATGAATGCCACAAGAAAAAATATTTTTCTTG